ATATATAAAAAGCATATAAGATGTTCACTCTCCAACATACATGACCTATTTTGTCAGCGCCTTTGCTGTTTTTCAGTTAAGAGCTTTTGGGCAGCAGTAAAGAATCAAAAGCCATAATAAATCATCCTTTTATGAGCCTAGAAATAGTAATGCTGCATAGAGGAAAGGGGAGAATGATCTGGAGCGTGGTAATGTGCATAGCAGTCACTGGTCAAAATACTCAAACCTGTTATCTCCTCCTAACTCTGTGTGCCCGTGCCTGACAGTCACTGTGGCTAAGCACCGACAATTTGCCTGTCATTTTCAGGCTTGTATTTACGTGCCTGTATATAGATTTAAAATCCTAAGGTTAGGCATACCAGCTACAGTTCTGAAATCAAGCTTTTGTAATACAAGATACTAGTTTTTTTATTTGTTTTATTTAAAGATCCTGATAATTTTCACAAATGCCAGCCTGTGCTGAAACATTTAACAAATTTTGATTCTTAGCTGAAGAATTTTACCTCTCTGTTTGAAAATGTGACCATTATTTGCATGAAATTGTGCATGGAGCTCTGCCGCTCCTTGGACCCGGGAGGATGGCGTGCCTGTGCACTCTGAGCACGGAGCAGTGCCAGGTACCAGCCTCTGGGTCTCTTCAGTTCTGCCTCCAACATCAGCACGCCTTTTTGATAGCTTTAATCCAATTTTCTTTGTGCTGTGATTTTTCTCAATGTAAAATGGGAATCAAAGATATGACTCATTTCATCACTGTATTCTAAGGAGATGCTAATCAACATTTTGATGCCTACAAGATTAATGAATGGGAACATGAATTAATGTTTGGGGCATATGGGAATGCCATGGGAGCGCTGAGGTAGAAGTAAATCATTAGTTAGTAAATCGTACTGAGTGAAAGGTCTGAATTGAAGCCTTACACTCAATGGGGAAGAGCTGAACAAATACCATATGACTGTGGAAATACTGGGTGACTGCGTATGGTCTTAATAGAGGTAGAGCATCTGCAGAAGAAAACAGTATGTGACCGGATCAATAAAAGGGGATCATAGTGCAATCATGCGAAAGAGGCATATTTAATAGGACCTTTATTCTGCCATGTTTCTGATGCTTGCTTGCAACATTTTCATCCTAAATACTGTTAATGTAATTTAAACAATGTTATTGTAGCACCTGGATTTGGAGACCCATTGGCGAGGGGCCATGCAGTGTATAGATGAGTTCAGCTCTAAGCTGAAAAGAAACCTCATTGCTATGAGGGCAGGCAGGGTAGGAGAATGTCTAGGATGTTTATATACTGTTCTAATAATTTTTCTCATAATTACATGTAAACTAAACGCCAAGGAGTTATAGTATTTAGGTGTGTAAAGTTATTGTAATTGTTCATATTTGCATCCCACTAGGAGTGCTCTCTGAGTGCAGATGGCATTCTGTACACTTTAAATTCAGCTTAATGTATCAGGCTAACTCTCATTTACATGAAGACCACTTTGTATCGCTCAGCCAGCATAATGTGGCCATAAATGAAGAACAAATTCTGTTTACACCCCCCTCTGCAGAGTGACCTTAATTTAAATGAGAATCAGGCCCATAATCTGTATAAATATATGCACTCTGTTACATTAAGGTTATTTATTACATTGCACTTGGCCTGAGTATGCATGGAGATTTACCATAGATAATCCATAATCCAGAATTAAACTATTAATATGCATTTTGAGAGGGGCAGCCATAACCTTGAAATTCCTTGGTTTAAGTATGACCTTTAACTTTGTTTGAATATATTTTTTAAACGTATGAATAACAAATTAACATTGCTTGATAAAAAACATTCTGATTCCTTTGTACCGTTTGCATCAATCCATACTTAACTTACAGAAAGCCTTGAAGATTAGAAGGCTTAATCACTCATAATATTTATTTGTTTTTAAATGTCAGATCACACTTAGTTCAACATACTGTCAGTCTTGTTCCCTCCCGCCCCACTAGGGCATTAATGAAACTACAGTGGAAAGTGTTGTTCTTTTTGTGTCCAAAGATGCATGCGCCTTAGCAGAATGACAAAACACTTTGTACCTGGCCTGTGTAAAGGAACTACTTTCTGTATCCTCCTGAATATGGAATTAAAATCTGTGCTGTTCCTTTGGTACACCCTCCCAATTTCAGTAGACCTGTTGCAGGAAGCACACAAATTACCAGTTGTGAGGAATTCTTTATTTCCTTACCTGCAGCTTACAGGAGGTCAGCTATGAACAGCAAAGGTGTTTGAGCAAAGACTCGGTGGTCTAACAATACATTTTGTAGTGGTGGAAGGTAAGTCTTGCCAGAAGGTCTCGGGAACAGAGCTTGTAAGTTACGTGACGGAGTCCAAATATCTCTGTCAGAATTGAGACAATATCGAAGCTAAGCTGTAAACACTGTGCATAACCATATGTTGAAATTCACTCGCATTGAGCTTGTACCAAACAGAGCCTCAGCAAAAATATACTGGTTGAACTGTGGCATTTTGTTTTTCTTTCCACAGTCCGCATCTGAAGTTCAACAATCTGACCTTGATTTCAATTCATGGCCTTCCAGGAAAAGACCTAACGGGCTCCAAACATAGAAGATTTTTAATTAACAGGTTTGGTTTACTATCTAAACACTTCCATAGCTTCAAAGGAAAACACTGCACTTTGTAATTCTTTGTGAACTTGTCCTAAGTTTTAGATAGATACATAGACAGCCTTATGCTGTCCAATACAACCTGTCTATACAACATGCGTTCACCTGTGAAATGAGTTGAGTATAATTATTACTAGGGAAATGTTGCTAAAACAGTAACTTCAGGACAGCAATCCATTGTATTACACCAGGATGCTGGTCTCTGCTTTCCAAGACTTTTTAGATTGGTTAGGTCTCCGGGTTAGAGAAAAATGACAAAAGACGTATGCTTGCTTTTTAAATATTATTTAGTTTTTAACTTCCACAAGTTTTGTTCAAATAATGCTGAAGAAAATAACGTATAAGATTAATATTAGCAATGCGACCAGTGATCTGCTTATTGCAGCTATGTGGTGAGATGCAGATCCCACTGACAACAGTGGGAATTTTGCCGAGTATATGGGGGAAAGTTTAGTATTATTGCTGTTGATAAATTTGGAAGAACTGTGCTGCATGAGTTCTGCTACTTGTGAACTGTTTGTGTGCCAGCCACTGGACTGTGGAAGTCTATCTCCAGTCCCAGACAGAGTGCTGCCCCTTATATGTACCTCCCTGGGGCTGGCAGGGCCCGGGGTCTGGTACGAAACAGCTGAAGGGAAGACTACGAGAGAGAATTATGCTTGTGTCTAGCGAGTGGTCAAACATTTCACGAGTTTTCTTGTTTGCTAGTAAGTAAAAATATCTTCCATTTAGTAGGATAAAATCTTACCTTATTAAAATTCACAGTATGTAATTCTCACTTAAATTTGGTATATTTGTTTTGATGGGAGTTTTTTTGTTAATTTTGGAATAGCAGCTAGGAATCCTCATTGTAGACAGGAACATGACTGTTCTGGATGTTGAGAAGCATAGAATTAAAATGAATCAGTAATTTTGAATGGCTGGGGAGTGAACTTAGTATAATTTATATAGATTTGGCATCTGACTCTTTGGAACCTGCACATTGTTTTTTACCAAATCTTTTACTCAGTAAATGGCAATGCACTAAAGGGTCAGCTCTTTAAATGACAAAACAACTCAGTGTCTGCTTGCTGAACCTTAAAAATGAAATCTCTACAAAGACATGAAAATGATGTGATGTGAACCTGTTTAAAACCACCTTATCTTGTTTGGAATTTTGCCCTGTCAAGGAATTTTTTTTATAAGTAGTTACCTGAATTGATTTTTTTTTTTTTTTATTGCAGAAAGAGGTATGTTTAAGTACAAATCTGGTAAATGAAGGGATTATACGCTCACACAAATGCATGTGCTCTTTTTCTTAAGTATACTGTGAAAAAGAGTTGTAGTAACAAAAAATCCTTCCTGATGGAAAGTTGCAGTTCATAGCTGCCTCACCAGATTAGCTGTTAAAATCTGAAAGCAGATTAAGAGTGAAAATTGAACTCTGCAGGGTATGATTTTTGAAAGCATCCCTGTGATTTTGGAGCGTCAGTCTCCTGGGAGCTGCGCACCTCAATTATAAAGGTGCTTTTGAAAATCCTCATCTGTCCTTGATGCCCACTTTGTTTATAGATTTCTGCATGATTACAGTTTAGAATTGTCAGTGGTTTTCTTCCCTTATTTATTTGTCTCTGGTATCTGTGAGTACAGAGGATGCAGAGTACCTCAGAAAGTCTGGTCATTCAGTCCTAAAATTCTTCAGGTCATGAAAGCAACTTTGTTTCTGTGCCGTACTGTATGACAGTTTGGGGAACTCAGTAACAACAATTAATGTGTAGCAATCAGCTCTGGTTTAGAATGTATATTCTGGTACTAGTGGCAAAATAACAGCTATTAGTGCTGAGTCTCTCTCCAGTGTTCTCTGCTGTGGTCACTGGTACAATACAAAGGCATGAAATGCTTGAACATGAGCTGAGTCCCCCTCTAGTTAATTGCATCAAATTTAGTCTTGTGGAAGAAAGTGGAGTATTTCTCATCACTCGGTATCAACAGAAAGTAAAGTTCTTGAGCCTCTGAATGGCCATGAACTTTATCTGGTAGATGGACTATTTCTTTCTGTGGTGGCTTCAGATCACAGACTGGGTGAAGCCGAGGATTTCTTTATTTGCCATTCCCATCTTGTCTCATAGGCGTGAAGTGCTAGCAGGCGTGAGACTCGACTTCTTTTCACACAAGATGTGCAAGTTCCACCTTCTTGCCATGTCTCTCTGATCTCATAAAGCAAACATCTGTGTTAATATCAGCCATTCATCTTTTTTGCTTGTTTAAAACCTGTTGCATTCCTTTTCACTAGATCCTGTGGGTTCATTCCTCTACAAAGCTGTAAATGGGTTTGGGATTAGCATTAATTCTCAATTCTACTGAAAGAACCAAATTTAATGGAATTTTTCCTTGTTTAAGTTTTCAGTATCAGGGAGGTATTGAGTTGAGTCTAGCTGGATTTGCAGAATGGCCAGCAACATACTGTGTATTTTCATAATGGGCAAGACTCAGTGGTGTTCAAGAGTCGTAACGGACCTTGCTGAAAATGTTCTTTTTGGTCCTCCATGCATTTTATAATTATATCTGTTGTCCATCTTCGGGAATCTTTGTGTTTCCAGAAGTCTATTAAGCAGAGGGGGTAGTACAAATGCAATAATAAATAAGTATCTTGGTATTTGCTTAGTTGGGCAGAGTGGGGGCATACTCTGAGTCATAAAAGACCTTTGGAAATAATTTTAATTTTCATTACAGAGGCATTAAAAGAGGTTTTGTTCCATTTGGATTGTGCTTCAAAATTGGCTTTTTAAATAGCAGCTTCCAGATCTTTGATACTGTCATCATACATAGGAATATGTATGATACTTTACACTGGAAACAGGCTGTAACACTGCTGAAATTTAAGAACTGCAAAACTTGACCTTGCCTGAGATTGTCAAAACCGACAAGTGATTTTGGGTTCCTTAGTTTTCGGTGCTGATATTGAATTAACACTGCCAGAGCGTGGTGCTCAGAATGTGTGCACCATGCGAACCCTGGAAATCAGATTTCTATCGAGGTGTCTCATTGGGACAACACGTAGTCCATAAGACATTCAGGTGTCTCACCATAGCCGCTACTGGTGACGCTGAATACCAAATGAAGCAAAAGTGGGGAAAAAAACTTAATAAGGGAGTCTTGCGTAGAAGAAAGAAATTAGACTGTTAAAATATTTTCTTTGCAGGTTCAAAAGTCTCCTCCTTGCATCAGCCTGCAAACAAAAAGCAGAGTAAAGCATCTATTTCTGACTTTGTTTTTAAATTACGTGGTTGTATGGCCCGATGCTGGGAGGGATTGTTTAGTTTTAGCAGAAAGTTGTCAACTGGTAACTGAGTATTTCATAATGACTAATCTGTTACTATAGACTGCCGTAAACTCACAGCGAGAGAACAGACTTGAACCACTAGGGGACTTTGGCTAACTCACCAGATGTCTAATTAATGCCTGCTGTCAGCTGCTGAAATGTCACTTACAGATATTCTTTCTTCACAGCCACTGTTTTAATGATGAAGATTATGCACAGATGTCACTTTGTTCCTGGGTTAACGTTGTGGTTGGTAAAATGACTGGCATAAATCGTGCTGCCAAATATGTACTTGTTTCCAAGGAGAAGAAAGTACCATATGACTACCTTGTTCTCTGTACGGGACAGAAATACCAGGTAAGATTGTGTGCAGAGTGAAAAACATAATAGTAATAATATGTTCAGTTTTTACAGTAAATAGTGTTTCTGTGATTAGCAAAGCAGCAGAGTAGTCCTTAGCAAATGTATAACCAGAAACCGTGTAGCCCTTCAGTGTGGCAGGTTGTACTATTTCAGTGTGGCTATAGAATTTGAGAGGTTGCACAAAATTTTCTACCAGCAATGTCACTGCTCAGTATCGGACATTAAGCAAAGCTACCAGTATTTTTGCCACCATGACCATTAAACTTGCTGAAGAGTAGGTCTGATTGACATGTGGCCCCAGCCACAGGAGACTTAACTCCAGCTGGTCTAACACCGTTTGACCTAGTTTTGGCAATGGAGAGAACTCCTTATCAAATTAATTACTCCTGTCATGTGATGACCATGCCTAGGCATGTACGTGGTCCTGTATGTTATTGCAGCACACAGTTAAGTTTCCAGTGAGATTGAAGCAGACCCTTAGTTACACGTGAAATGTGGAATCAAGCTCATCGCCAGCTCTACAGGCTCAGCTTTGACTCAGACATCCTGGGCAGGGTTCATTCATTCTTGTGATCATTGCGTGGCCTTCAAACTGTGTAAACCAAATGACCATCTTTTGTATAGCCCCATTGCCTGCAGTGATTTTGCCTTGTTGATTGGTTTTGGATAGGAGTCACGAGCAACATATTTTGCGTTTAAAATCAGGAGATGAAACTGAGCATGTGTCTACAGGTTTTTACAGTGCTGTTCACCGTAAGTCACAACCGTGAATGTGGGGTATGTTCAGCCCCATAGTGAAATCCGGACTGCACGTGTGCAGCAGATTTGTGGAGCAAGAAAGCCCCAGTTTTTCTGTAATCGCTTCTCGGAGTAGAGGCACGCTGTGAACAACAATCCATATTCACTGTTCAACAGGGCTGAAACAAAGGTGAAGTGTTAAAGTCTGTATGTGAAGTATTAAAGTCTGAATGACTTTAAGTGCTCCTAGAAAAAGAAGTTTGGAGGTAACTCCGACTTGCAAAATAAGTTATGGGAAGTAACTGCACTGGAGGAGAAAGAAAGATGAAGAAAGCAAGGGAAAACTCTGGTTTTATCTGCCTTCAAGAGGAAAACCTAACATCATCTATTCTCACTTTTAAGCCCTACAAAAAAGAGGAAGGAATTATTTTTATCATCTGGTTTCTGTTATATTACACAGAGCTGTAGTCCGTTGTTTTATAAGTTGTCCCTTATTTGGTAAGCAGTCAAATTAATGCCTAGTAAAACATTATTCATTATGATTAAGAGGATTTCATTGTTGAGTAAGGAAGATCTTTTGATGTCATGCCTGTTTTTATATGACCGAATAGTATTTCGCTTGATCCAGTTGGCAGTGAGAACATTGTGCAGGATGTTAATCACTGGTGCTGTAGAAGTCATAGATGAGATTCCCTTTTTTGCTCTCTAATTCAGAATGAATTTGTTACTGTAAAGCAGCGTTATACAATTAACACTTTACTGAATCCTGGCATTTTAACCATCGAGCAGGTTTTGGTCCTTTTCTCTGGGACAAAAATCTGTCTTATTTTAGAAAGTTGATTTTTTTTTTTTTTTTTTTTTTTTCTGGCAAAAGATGGAGGCAGTCTTGCTGCACAAAGAATTTTCAAGTCTCATTTAAAGGTATATGTTATTGAAATAACTGCAGAGATCCTTCAACTGTATATCTGTGCATTTCTGCTGCTTGCTGTGAAGCCCTTTTCATTTGCGTTTTGCCTGTATTGTTACTCACTTGTTCTGGCACTGCTGTTTAAAATGGTCACCCATATCCCATAACAAATATGGAATACATGACACACGCGTGTGTACCCAGACTAGCATGAATCGTATTTTCTTGGCGGCCACTGATGTGTTTCCTACTGCTGCATGTTAAGAAGGGTTAGGATGTACAAGGATAGCAACGCTTAAGTAGTCAAATAGCTTGTCTCATTGTTTGTTAAAAGCTTTCTTAACAGTTCTCCAAGATATATGCCATGTATTCATTCACTCATTTGTTCGTTTCTTCCAGGTCCTGTCTCCCACTGGAGCAGATATCAGTAAACTTCCAACTAACAGAGAAGTCATAAGTAAGTGGCCACAAAGATACACAAGGAAAGTCCCTTCCAATCATTTTACTCTCAATGATGACCAGGACTGCTTAAAGGCAATGCACTGGCTGAAAGAAAACGTTGTCAACTCAGAAGGTAAGGGTTTTCGTGAACACACACACATTTACAGAAATGTTTTCTAGGCTTATTGTTTCCTTAATTTCATGGTATAATTGGTGCCTGATTACTTCTAACGAAGTCTTTCATCTGCTGCGCTTTGTTTTCCAGATTAATTTATAATTTGTTGTCATTTTTGATACCCGGCATATTTAGCAAGGAAAGAAAGGCTTGAGATTAATTATCTATAATTATTATATAAACCAAAATGAGTCCCAAATGCAAATCTGTCTGGAGTCATTAATTAGCCAATTAAATAATAATTTAATTAGTGGATGTGTTTTTTTCTGTTGTAGAGAAACATATCTAGATTTGAGGCCTAACAAAAGAAAACAGGTCTAAATTAGGAGGTGGAGTTTTTCAGTATCTGTCATCTTTGTATTCGGTTACATCAGTTACAGATTTTCACACAGAACTGCAGGCTCACAGTATTTTCTTTTAACCCTTAAAATGGCACACTTGTGCCGATTTTTGTCCACCATACCTGTATTTCCTCAGCCTGTTCCTGTGTGCATTGTTCATATATTCATTAGTTCATTCACTGAAAATATCTGGAATCACCCAGGTTTCTGAGTTAAACTTTCAACTACAGAAAAAGAGACCAAACAGTAAATGAATTAATGTAATGTCAGTTCCGTGTGCCGGATCTGAGTTGGGACAGAGTTCAGAGCAGGAAAGCTGTCTTTCTGGAAAGTTCTTGTCGCCTGAGTGCAGTCGTGGCTTAACCCCAGCCAACAACTGAGCCCCAGGCAGCCGCTTGCTCACTCCCCCCCGGTGGGATGGGGGAGAGAATCGGAAGGGTAACAGGTAGAAAACTCATGGGTTGAGATAAAGACAGTTTAACAGGTAAAGCAAAAGCCGCACATGCAAGCAGAGCAAAACAAGGAATTCCTTCACCACTTCCCATCGGCAGGCAGGTGTTCAGCCATCTCCAGGAAAGCAGGGCTCCATCACACATGATGGTTACTTGGGAAGACAGACACCATAACTGTGAATGTGTCCCACTTCGTTCCCCCAGCTTTATATGCTGAGCATGATGTTGTATGGTATGGAATATCCATTTGGGCAGTTGGGGCCAGCTGTCCCGGCTGTGTGCACCCCCAGCCTCCTCGCTGGTGGGGTGGGATGAGAAGCAGAAAAGGCCTTGACTCTGTAAGCACTGCTCAGCAATAATGAAAACACCCCTGTGTTATCAACACTATTTTCAGCACGAATCCAAAACACAGCCCCGTACTAGCTACTGTGAAGAAAATTAATTCTATCCCAGCCAAAACCAGTACAGTTGCAACAACAGCACTTTCCTAAAGATGTAGTTTACGTGACTCATTTGCAGAGAACATAATGAATGTTGGTAGTTATTTGGTGTGGTCTACAAAGTTCGTGTCCTGCTTGGCAGACCTTTAGGGAAGTTCTCAAGACATTGGAAGTTTCTTTATCATCCACCAAGTCTTGCTGTGATCAGGACAGGAGACAATAAACATGATAATGTTTCCACTCACATTTTCCTCAGCTTCCTGGCCTCAGGCATGGAAACAGAGCCTCTTCAGCAGTCCCACTCTGCCTGTTTTCCAGCTGATACTAGCCCCTGCCCACGCAGTTTTACCTGACGTCCAGCTGATATGCCCAGCTGCGTTTGCATAAACAGATGAGGTTGTTAGTTTTCCCTGTTTGCTACTGCTAGTCCTTCATGTAAACCTGTGCGTGCCCAGTTCTGGAATGTGCTCTAGAACACCTGGGCACAAACACTGCCTGAGAGCTAGCCTACTGTCTGGGACGCAAGGCTCCTGGGAGGATCTCTCTTCAGGCGAGTGGCAGTCTTAGAGCACCTTATCTGCTTTGGGATGAATGCACCTTTTTTATTATTATTATTAATACTAAGTTAATATTAATGACAGTTTCATTATTGCTGTTGACTTCTTGCAGTGTAAAGATGAATATCTTAATTAGGCACTATGCTGTCTTCACTTACAAGCTAAATCCACAAGCTGCCAATGAGACTGGTCTGGAGGGACATTTTGGAGACATGGTCTGTGGAAGACATGATGCCTCCCCCTTTCTCCTTGTCCTGCCTTTGGCTCTGGTTCCCTTTCGTTGCTCGTCCCACTTCATGTTCGCTGCCACTGCAGCTGTAAGCTATAAAGACTGCCCAGCTGGAGAAGTCTTTCTCCACCTGTTTCTGTTCTTCCTCGCCTGGCTTCTTTTTCCAGCGATGTTTCTTACAAATGTTGTTCTTTTTATACTTGATCATAGCTGCATCCAAGTTCCGTACTCTTTCTGAAAATGAGACCACTTTTCAGCACCTAGCCTGTTCTGGGGATGGTCTAATGGGCGGCAGGTTCGTGGAGGTGCAGAGGCAAGGCTCCTGTGGCATTCAGCAATTGATTTGGATGTCTGTCAGCCATCTGCAGGCTATGCTACCGCTCTACTGGGATGACAAAAGTTTTACGTATGTGTTTACTTTTCATCCCTGAAATTGTCCAGATCCTACTTTTGCCTCCAATAAATAGTAATATTACACCTTATCCATTTCTTCTCATCAAAACTGTATTGTTTGTCAAGTTTCTACTAACCTGCTTTAAACACGTTGGGATTCAAAATGTTAAAAAATAGGATTTGCTTATATTTAAAAAATAAAGAAGTGGGTAGTAAAACTATATATGCTGATTATTGTAGTTGCACAGAAATAGACATTTCATCCTCCCACTTCAGGTACAATAATAATTCTTCTCCACTTGTACTCGGTCTTTTCTCCACACAAATTTCTTTGATATGTGCTCTTCTTATTCAGCCATTTGCTATGTTTATCACAAGTAGTCTGGAGCCTGCTGTGCCAAGCCCCATTCTCCTGGCTCAGCCGCTGGATGAGCCCCTCCGGGGTCCCATGTAGCCAGTCTGGGGGCTCCCACCGGTGCCACAGCTTGGCAAGTACTCGGAGATGCCCGGCTGGGGAAGAAAAGCCCTGGACAAGGGAGAGCAAAGGTGCCTTCAAGACCACCTGTAGTTCTGGAGGTTTTTTAAAGGAAAGTGTTAGTCACTGAGCTTCACAATGTGAGTCTTATTAGCCTAATTGGATGAAATCTTAGTTTGGTGGCACTTATTTTGAGAGCAGCTTTTAATTAAGAGTTAAGGTAGGGTTTTTAATTGCTTTTCTTCCCTCTTGTGAGTGCTTGGTAGCACTTCATTCTGGATGAAATCAGTGGATGCTTTTTTGCAGGTCGTTAAGTAGAGCAGGATCAGCCAGGTAGCGCATACTGGCGTTGCATGCATGCCATGGTGGAAGCAACGGCGCTCCCAGCAGCGACTGCACCACCAAGGATGAGCAGCAGTGTGGATGCTGCAGCCTTCCTCCCCAGGCTCCTCCTCATCTCAGGTGAGGAGAGGTGATGGGAGAAGGTGGCTGGCACTCAGCAGCAGGTGTTGCTCGAGGAGCCTGCGTGAGAAGCAGCAAGCCATGATTGCCGCTGCCAGCTCCTTGACGGGCTGCAGCAGGGTCCCCCGAGCTGGGGCCGGAGGCCTTTGCCCCGGCCGGTTGTGCTGGCAGCTCTGGAAGGGCCTCCTGCTGCCAAGGGCCTGGGAGCAGGGTGAGCACCAGCCCCGATGGCTGCCACTGCAGCTTCTCTGATGAAACCCAGCCGCCTAATGCATGTAACCTATTATAACTGTAATTGTGACTAATTGAAATTCATCTCCTATTAGCTCTGCACTTTCCATGAAAATAAAAAGTAGGATGGGAGTAAAGTAAGGAACAAAACTGCTTTAATGGCCCAAAATGGAGCAATTATTTTTTCTCTTTACCTAAACATAGTTTACTGCCTTATTAAAAGCATGTTTGTAGGAATACTACCACATTAAAATTCCAGTGCATGAATCGCCAACTGGAGCCACTGATGCTTTAGCTAGTACTAGTTTTCTCCTTCAGCTTTTGCAAACTAAAAAGATTCAGGTCATGCTAGGGTCACTGAAATCTTGTGCTTCCACTTGTGGAAAATGAATGAGCCTGCTCTGCTGCAGAACGCTGACATTCTAGTAAAAAAATGCTAAAACTACTCTAACCGTCTTTATTTATGGCTGCTTTTCTCCATGGAAGATTATTATGTTTACTCACAGATAGATACATTTTATGTAGTTAAATAATAAAAGCATCCTGAGGAACTGCTATCTGTCCAGTGAACATAATTTCAGTCCATAATGAATATCTGTAGTTCCTAGACTACTAGCACTGTAATCTAAAAAGCCACTAATATTGTAATAAGCAAAAACCGTAAATTGTTGATTTACAAGAGGTCAGTAAAGGAGCATTGCTTTCCTTGATCTAATGTAGTTGTATTTAATATTACCATATAAAACAGAATTTTAATTTTCCTTGAGAAATGCAGGGCTCGAATCTGATCTCATCTATACAAAAATGCCAACATATGATACAATAACTGAACTTCCCTCCAAAGAGGCTGGTTCTGCCAAATGGTGAGGATCTCTCACTTGCTGAGACTTGCTTGCCTTAGTGTCAGGCTAACTTTGCTAGGCTGTGCCTTTGGTAAGCACTTCTCATTCCCCTTTCCCGGCCACTGTATCCTCTTCAGCTGCTTATGCTTTTCACCCCTTCCTAATTGAAAATGTGTAAATGTAACGTGAAGCTGTCAGCATCCACATACCACGTTCTTACCTGCACTATTAGCACATTAGATTACTAAAAATTAATATACGTAAGTTTGTATTTCACCACTGGTTCTGCTTGTTTACTTCTTGCATTACACTGCTGCAGCAGTGGAAAAAAATGGATCAGTCTTATGTCGTCTTTTTTGGCCCTCGTGATGACAGTACTGCCTACAGAGAGACATCCTGGCAGGCATGAGCAGTGGAAAGGATTCTTCTGGCTTGGAAAGTCCGCTTAGCAATGTACACATTGGACAGAACCCCCATTATCACACATTATACGTATTCTGTATTGTATTTATGAAAGTACTAAGATCTCTTTCTTCTTATGATTTCAGATGAATACATTTGCAGGTAAAATTGTTCTGTCCTTCTGGTCACTGATGTGAACATTAAAAATACACTTTCCGTCATTGTGAGCATGTATAATCATGGGGCAATTCTTTTCTCTGACAGTTATGAAGAGCTATGTTTATTTGGCAGCTACAAGTAGCCAAACTGATATGGACAAATAAAATAACCTTCTAGTCAAAGGAGAATAATAGAACATCTGTTAACAATTTTTAGCATTAATATTGTTGGGAGCTAGGGCTTTGTGAATGCTCTGTTTAGGATTGCTCTGTGTCTCATGCAGTAAAACATGGTCCCAGTGAAATTAGCCTATGAAATAATAAAATTTAGGTTGTAGGGGCTTCTGTCACTTGTAGCGGGACACAAAAGCCAATCAGAGATAAATGTGCAAGTTAGTTGCATGAGGCACTGTCTTACCTGCTCATCACTGCTTCCTGCAGTGCCATGAAGGAGAACAAATCCTGCCAAAAGTCAAGATCAAGCCAGTTATGTAGGAAAGTCAGCTGTTTGTCCAAATTCTCATTGCAGTTATGGCTCTGTAGCCTGTGGTGACCAAGTGCCAGCTGCTGTTTATGTCAATTACAGGCCATTCCTGAAACACCTCATACGTTTCAACGCTGTCTTTTCTTTAGTACGTTCCATCCCACGCTTCTCCTTCAATGCCAGACTACAAGTTGTTTTCACAGAGCTTGTAAAGAAACTTCTGCCATAACATCCGTCTGCTCATACGAGGCCCTGTATCCTCTGTGTTATCCCTCCGCTTCACTCTGAGGCTGGACAAGCCTGGGATTTGTGCACTGGCTTTCCTCTGGTTTACACACGTTACCTGGAAAAGTGACACTTGGGTGTTGTTAGCTTTTCTGTAATTTTTTTTTCCCAGCTCCATGCTGCAGCGTATGATGTCCTCTATTGCAAGGATGTTTGCATGTTAGCTTGTGTTATGGTCCAGTTATTTCCCGTTTCTGCCATGGATGTCCCATAAAGCAATAAATACACCTGCTGATCAGCAATGCTGCCCGGGTATGGGAACGTGCATTTTGATGCATCCTTGTGCTGACAGATCAGATTCTTGGCGTACTGAAACACCCATCAGACTTAACGTGTAGGAGCTGATGTCTTACTGAAAGTCTGTCAAAATTCACAGGCTGGGTGTTCATCTGCCTTGACCTTGCAGCTTGAGCTAGCTGCTGGGTCAGTTGAGCGCAGCACAGTCGTAGAGCTGGTGGTTGGGTGCGTGCTTACTGCCGCATACACGGAGGAGCCTGCAAGCCTGGGCTCGATCCTCCTTTCCTCAGGCTGGAGCTTGGCTGTGGCCCATGTGGCAAAGGGTCCTTAGCCACTGGGAAAGGAATTCCCAGTCTGTCCTACAAGATCTGTGCCATTTTGCATGGATTACTTGAAGATTCAGTGGATCACAGAGCAGAAAAAAAGGTTCCTGTTCTGAGCTGGGAGACAGAGGGAACAGGGAGGAGAGGAGTACGTTTCAGTCCTGGCTCAGAGGAATGATTGTGTGTTTTGTATTAAACCATCCTTAGATAAAACACATGGGTGCTCCTATGCATCCCAGCTCTGCCTCCCTCTTTGCCAGGAGGGCTTTAGCCATTAGGCTGGAGAGTCCCGTTATGCTCACACAGAATTTGCTTCCCTCCCATCCTCACCTATTCACTCTCAGCTTTAACTATGCAGTTTGAAGTGGCACTGCTCCCGTAAGAGAATTGACAAGACCCTGCCATATAGCCTGCAGTGTTGTAGTTAAGGGCACTCCCCTGGAAGGTGGGAGTTGTGGGTTTGAATCAGAGCTCCCTTTACCCAGTGGGTGGAAAAATGGAGCTGGTTTAAATAGTGGTTTCTGCTGTAGTGACAATGGACTGCAAAAGGAGCAGCAATATCCAAACGCTGTTTTCATACCAGCTGCTCAGAAGTGTCTGTGTTGAGCTTGCTGATTTCTAGGCAGTGTGCAAGGATGGAGGCTGGCTGGCTTGGAGCACATACTTGAGGCATTTGGGTTTTGGGTGGTCTCCGACATGCACTGGAGGGAGGCAGCTGTCTGCAAAGAATGGTGCAGAGCTGCCAGCCGCTGCTGTTGAGTGCGTCGGTCGTCTGTGCCCTGCAGCGGGGCAGTTGGGTGAGACAAGCCGGCAGATATGAAGCAGCAGGCATAGGGTATGTTTGCAGGGGCGTCTCCATTGTCTGGAGATTAGGCTTTTGCGGAAGGAAGCGGCAGCACTGGTGACCTCCGATATTGCACAACGGCTTGTTTTCTATAACTTGGTCTTTCCACAGTTTGGTTTTTTTCTGCATGATGTATTTGATTTGCTCCTTTCTCCCTGCCCAGGAAGTCCTTTGAATGAGCAAAATTGAGGAAGGAGGGGAGAACAAAATAAAAACTTTCTTTTTTCCCTAGAGGATTTTCAATCAAAATAATTTAAAATTATATAGTCAGAATGAATGTCATACTTACATGTTAAGTACTTGCCTACTTTGTGGGATGTTTTGTACAGATTCTTCACTAAATTATCTTAGCTACTGTTGCTAGGTAACATTGTTTGCTTCATAGCATCAGAGAAATAAGAGGGTCAAAGAGAGCAATTTTGTGTTATTATCATCTGAGTTATACTAATAAGGTTTTCATTGTATGTCTTAGAAATTTTTCCCCCTTTTTTTTTCCCTTAGGGAACATCATTGTCTATGGGAATACAATTGACATTTACACCACAGTAGAAACCCTCTTATCTCTTGGAATTAATGGTTCTCGCATACATCTCGTACAGCCTCCACTCAGCTCAAATGTTACTTGCCTTAACAACAACGAAATCGAAAGTGCTGTTCAGGAGGCACTGTCAAGGGCTGGCGTGTGTGTTTATTATGACAGTATCCTGGCACAGTGGAACGAAGGCGACGACCCAGACCTTATCACATGTGCTGCTTTCACTACAAATACAAAACCGTTTAAATTGCAATGTTCAGTAAGTATATGCTTTCATTGTATTTTCTTCAGCCTGTTTTTTAAGACAAAGACTGTCAAATTTAGGTAGTCCCTCGTTGGTTTATCTATTTTCTCATTGTCTCTAGAAGATTGAATAGTCACATGTTAGTATAAAGGATTGTTTTTAAAAAATCCAAACAAAACCATTGTTAATGCCCTGGCTGATTTGGATTAAAATGTATTTAAGTCAGCTGACTCACGAATAGTTGTTCACTGCTGAGTGACAGCTACTCTTAATTCATTTTCTAAATAATTCCAAAAATCTTTTTATTATTTAAATGCACACAGTAACTCCTGTCTACAGTTATGTGCATTTGATTAAGATTTGATTAAGTCATAGTAGAAGCCCATAATGTTAGGATAGGGAGGCCTACTATGTAACTTAACTGCAATACATTTTAAACAGATTTTTCTGCCTCTAGATTAATGACTGCATTTTGTTTATCTATAGTATCAGTGTCTAAATAAATCATATGTACACTCACAGGTATGGCCCCACTGTGAGATCTGGGACAGGTTTTAGCGTTTCCTAATGGGCAGAGTAGTTCTGTTTTTCTTTCATTGGGCTAATCCACATGAGTGAGCGCTTCTGATAAAGTCACTTCAAAACGTGCATCCGTAGGAAGCTGTATGGCCCCCTCAGCACACCCTGCTGTGTGCACACTTCTTTGTGCAGTAAGTCTGTTGTAATTCTGGAACGGAAGAGCCACATGCCTCCCTGGAGAGCTCCCCAGGAGTCGATGGTCCCTGCTGGCTCCCCTGGCCTGGAAAGCTCCAAATCATTGGGCCTTCCCAGCCCTTTTCTTTTTAATATATGGATAGTTAAGCCCTTCCTGATGGAGATGAAGACCTTGTATAGCACTTTCATCTGCTAGCAGTCTCCTGACTTTGGTCACCATATCAGTAGTGATGTTCCTCCCACTCTCTCCTCATCGCAGCTCTTCGGTTTCTCTCCTCTTTCCATGAAACCCCTCTGTTTTCAGCCTTCTTCCACAGAGATCTCAATGTGATTCTTGTCCTTGCAACTGAATAGCCATTCACCACCTCCCCATCAGCCCCTGGTCTTTTCCCCACCACCTTGCTTGCGTGGCCTGTGCCATTCCTTCAAAGACACTCATTTCCTCGTGGTTTGGTCCTCTTGCCCCTTTGTGCCCCGTGCCTGTCGTTCTACCAGTCGTGGTTCTTCCCTCTCAAGGTCTCTCTTACCCAGCCTTGAAGATGAGAGACATGCAAGTACATGTGATGTCAGGGGCTTTATAGTCTCCAAAACTGGTTCAACTGTCTTGCATGGCTCCTGTATCTGCTTTTAGCCGCCTGGGAGGACGGACTCAGAGGAGGACAGGGCTCCAGAGAGCAGCCTTCGCCAGGAAGGCAGCTGCGTTCGCAAGGGAGCAGGCTGTGCAGGAATAGGCACTGCAGCAGCTCTGGGCCTTTTGGGATTTGAGCCAATATCAACTGTTGATTGGCAGTTCTTGGGGGCTTAATTTGTTGAGTCCTGCAGGATAAAAACAACGAGAGAAAATCTCCAAAAGGCAGCCTCCCTCCCTCCCTCCCCTCCCGGGCTGACAGATGGCTCCCAGCCTGGAGATTGCAGCCGTCCCCTCCCCTCCGGTGACACCGTCCTGCCTGTCAGCCGGCAGGATGCAGGACTGTGTGGTCCCCTTGCCCTCATGGGCAGAGCTTCGCTGATTTTGGATATAAAAGATGGTTAGAATTCCATTAACTGCACATAGTTCATTACTTGCTTTATAGACGAACAACCCCGAGGCTCTGGCTTCTCTGCTTGCTGCATCTCTGCTGTACCAGTGAGGTTTTTTGTGGAATTTACAGCTCCCTTTGCTTCCCTCTCCTGTGCCTTTTCTTCCGGCTGGCTCATGCAGCCGGTCATGAGCATCTGACGCTTGCCCTTAGTCCACAGGAAAGCTCTTTGGTGGTATAATCAGGTAATACCTTTACCCAGGTCACAAGTGTGTCCTCCCTGAGGCTGACATTGAGGGAAGGACATACTACTGACGCTGGTTTGCCCTGATACAGTTATGTCTCAGACTGTTTAAGATGAAGGCAGCAAGATAACACATGCTCATCTAGTAACTTTTCACCCTTTCCTCAGCCTGCACAGTAATACGTCTTGATGGTGGGCAGTAACATTCAACTTGTCATCTAATAATTTTAAAAGCTGAGGACACTGATGAAAGACAAAGCTCTTTTTATAAAGGCTCTGGAGCGTCACAAACTGTATTGTTGCAATGAGACGGTCAGTCTTCATCTGTACCCTTTGCAGACCATGATCTTGTTTAAAACCTCTCTCAACTTTGTCATTCTTATTACTTTTAACCCTCAATGTCCAGGATGCAGTCTTGTTTACACTATTTTGGGAACCTTTGTTCTGCCAGCTTTCAGTTTATCCTTTGTAAGAGGCACCTACAAAGACACTGCTAGTAGCTGTAGCTTCTCCCACTTCTGCCACCTGCAGCACTCTGACAGAGGCGAGGGCGTGGGGCAGGGACTGTTCTGTGTGTGTGCCCCCTGGTTCCAAGCTGGAGTGACCCAGCCTTGCTTACCTGCTCCTCATTTCTGGTGTTTCGGAACCGAGACACCTCCAGGTGATGCGGGTTTTACCTTCCCCAGCACCTCTCTTAGCTTCATCTGAATAGGCACTTTTTTTCTTAGGGAGCACATTTTTGGTTCCAGATTAAAGAGGCAAAAGCCCATCTGAAAAGTCACTTTTAGGCAATGCAGAAAACGAGATAACACACATATAAAGAGAAATGCAAGATGTACGTGATTCTAAATCGATTCAAAATCTCCTCTCTGCTAATTAATGCGCAGAGTCTGTGCAGAGCGTGCACACAAAAGGCGAGGGCTGTGGTGGGACCCTGCAGTCCTCGCTCTCGCGCTGCGCTGGATTTCAAAGTGGCTCTTCAGGCATCCGGCACACTTTGCGTGACGTGCTGCGTGCACATCTGTTCCACACCGATGCATACGCGTAGGACGAATCAATGGCCGCTTCCAGCGCCGCCTGCTTTGTAGTGCTTGTCACAGTGGTGCTGCCTCAGCTCCTGTTTTGGGAGATGAGGTCTGATCTGCTTCCTTATGTCCCAGGAGAAAGGACTATGCAGGTGCCACAAGACAAAAGAAGGGAATTATCACTAGCTTTTTTCCTTTGAGACTGAGGAATTCCCTGAGGGGGAATTTAAGGATTTAGGGTGATTTTCTTTCAATAACCTTGAAATCTTCCTGTGGGGAAGACAAGCTCATGGCTTCAATAGATGCTAGTCCCAAGGTAAATCCCTACCTCAGGGCCAGTTCTGTAAGGAGGAGTAAGACAGCACAGACAGTGTTTTCAAAGAATGGAGGTCACATCTTTTTTTCAATTCCACATGGCAAATAGGTATCTGCTTGCTCATTACCAGATTCGGTAACTGACTGCCAGATGTACCAAGTGCTTTACCCACTGACACAGGCTCCTCTGGGCTGACCTGCATGATCCAGATGGATCTGACGTTCACCTAGACCTGTGCCCTGTCTCTGAGAGCGGCCAACCTCAGCTGCTGCAGGAGCAGTAGTCCCAAGCACTAAGGAGGTGCAGCTTAGTCTGCCTCTTACAGCAAGTATTATCCAGACCTGGAACAGCTAGAGATGTGTTTCAGTCCTGACAAAGTTTGGATATGCTTTCCAAAATCTATGTCACTGTCAAGTATAATAAATCTGAATGCTTTCCTTTTCAGGTAAATATTCAGCCCTTTTACACCTCTCACAAACATCCTGGCCTCCCCAGCTTCCACTGGCTTTAATTCTGACGCTGTAGTTTGAATGAGGGTGACGTTTCCTCTGAACAATTTGAATTTCCTATCCTTCCACTTCAGTGAATATCCCTGTGCTGGTATCCATAGTAACATAGTTTGGTGAACAGTAAACAGCACAACAGTTGGAAAAATATCTGTAACATACAGTTATCCTGCTAAAATGCAAAGTAAATTGTACTTTTCTATTACTTAGTTTTTCAGTTTGGCTTGAGCATTTGAAAGAAGAAAACCAACTTCATAAAGGGTTCAAGTCTATTTCATATGCTTGTATTAACGCAGAAAATATACACATCCACTCAGGCTATTTTACATAGTTAATATTAGAGTTTTTAAAATAAAACTCATCTAATAACCAGCGGTGAATGAGTCTAGTTTAGTAATTCTCCCCTCTACTGTCTTTGTTTTAATTTTTGTAGCTGTGAATACTGGATCAGAAGGATTTAGCTGTGTATGTAAAATCATACTTTATTTCATGTTCTTGTTTTTTATAATAAATAACTTCCAGAATGAAGTGTGGGTTTTGATTTACAAAGTTAGCCAGTAACTAATGTATGATAACCTGCACTTACTTACATCTCTTTTTTTAGGCATTTTTTAGCTTTGCCTACAAGACAGTGGATTATGAAACCTTTAAGGCAATTAATGATGCTTGCCTTGTTTTTGATGGAAGACTTGTGATTGATACCGAATTCCGAACTAATGATGTCAGTATCAGGGCCGCAGGTCCTTTGACAAAGTACTCGAGGAGATATTATGTAGATGAATGGACACACAGCAACTTCAATTCAAAAGAGGTTGGCTCTGAGCTTGCTGCATCTATGCTGAATCTCTTTGATCCAACCGCTAAGCCCTTTTCTAAGCCACCAGAAGGCACAGATAGACTCACCCCCATGTACAAAGGGTGTAAAATTAAAGGTACGTCAAAGTGGATTTCTGTCATACTTTCATACCCTCTTTGGTGTTTTTGCTGTTATCTTGTAAGGGCAGGTCCATCGTCACCTAAGATGCCATCTAATGGTAGTAAAGTCCTCAAAGCTCCTTATGTAGTCAGTGGAGAGATGTAAGTTGCAATAAAAGCTTTTGCTGTAGATTTTTGCTAATAGCGGACCAAGTTGTGCTTTCATTTGTACTGCAGTAAATATGGAGTGTTTCCAGTGAAACTCGGTGTCTTTATTCCAAGTTCAAGATCAATAAAGCTATAATCGGAACTTTTCAATGTGTGGCTACTGCACTAACATGTATATGAGTACCAAAAAAAAAAAAGCTTACAACATGAAGTCCACCAAAACAAAATAAGTTCCTTGTTTTCTTTTTAGAGCTGTTTAGTAAACAAACAAAAGATTATGGGTGAAGGAGGGCAAACAAATACTCTTTTTTTCTTTGTGTATGATTTAATAAATCTCATACTTTCATTTATGGCAGGAGGTGTTCTTCCTGGAGGCTATAATTACTTGCATATTTCCAAACCGGAAATCCCCATCCGCTTGGACTTAGCACTTGCACTGTGTGATCATGTAAGTTACATTATTTAACTTTTCTTTGTTTTGTCCTCCATTTGGAAAGATGTTCTTATTTAGCATAGCACAGGTGTATGCATAAGTACCACGCATCTTAAAAAGTACCTTGATTAAGCATGGGTCTAGGTATGTATGTAGAGACCTTCCGGAGATGGAACTTATCGGTAAAATCTGGAACGGAACAAACCACATAAAAATCTCTGTGATTTTTTGAAAATTTTTTTTAATACAAATTCACTGTCATGTTGTAAATGTGGAATACATACAGATAAGATTATCTGATTAACTTCTTTACTGCAGTTCTTAATTCCTTTGCCATAAAATCAACCAAAGCCGAAAGGGTTTTTGGTCCTTGAAGGCAGGAAATACTCATCAAGACCTAATGCCCTGAACTCTTCATTACTATTTGTAGCACTTTGGGTTTAAATAGCTCCCTAATGGGGCACTACAGCTCAACTCCTTGACCCTTTTTTCCCAGAGTTGGTAGCTCAGCACTGTGTCTGGCTCCTGAGCCGTTTTTCTCAGCACAAGTTAGGAGGTTATCACGTTGGCTTTTCCTCAGTGCTCTCTTTTTGAGAATGGCTTGGTTTTTGCATGATTCTATAGAGACAAGTAATTTTCTCAGTCATATGGAACACGTGGCTTCTGAAGTTCCCAGCACATACTTAATACAAAGCACATCAAGGTAGTGGTGGTATTTGCTATCCGATTTGCATAAGAACAAATCTGGTCAGCTAAGCCTGGGTGTGTCGTATAAATCAGGTACAGCTGGTGAACAAGTATGAATTATATAACTAACTGAACCTCTTAGAGGTTCGTTTCCATACTTTCTGATATTTGGCTTTCTCAAAAGTTGCATACTTTCTATAAAGAGGACACAGGATAGTATTAGCTGGATTTCACTAAAACATGCTTTCAGCCTTAGCGCTTAACCTCTTTCCTCTCTGGAATAAGATGCTATAAGTGCATACAGATGATAAAACTTCACAGTCTATCAGTGAAATTCAGTTGATTTCTAGACTAGTAGGAAAAGAATATATTCTGGAAGGGATGCTCCATACTTTGCTGCTAGAAAATAACTAGCGCTGCAACCATCAAAGTCATCTTTGAACAGGAAAGAGGGAAACACTTCACATAGTTGGGCTGTACATGCCCATGATACAAACATGGATACACTTCTCCTACTGGAGAACCTGACTTGTGAAACAAGAAAAGGACCAGATCCATATATTTTAGAGCCAGAGAGGACCATCCACCTAGGCAAGCTCCTGTTTCATACAGATTATACCTTTTTCCTCAGGAATTTCTGCATCAAACCATTCTTGTAGTTGATGTAAAGAATGGCTTTTAAAAGTCTGCTTCAGTCCTGATTTTAAAACTTGGACAGCAATGGCCTATAGAAAGAATTTAAAAAAAAAAAAAAAAAATCCATGCTTTGTGGGGAGGAATCAAAGCATGGCTCACCTTGTTTTCCATGCTTTGCAGATGCAGGATGAGCTGTCCAAAGCAGTATGTACTGGGAAGCAGAAAAGACTATCAGAGGGAGAAAAATTGGTTTTGTCACTCCAAATTGCTAGAACGCTATTAGAATTCTTTTGCTGCAGCTTTGATTACCTGCTGTCTGAAAAGGGAACATCTTTAAAGCCACTCCAGAAACTTCATGTAAATCCTAAAAGAATTTCCTAAGAAATAAGAGAAGCTAGTGAAATGTATTAGCTGAGAGATGTGGAAGTAACAAAGGTTACTGTAGCCTAGCAACAGGTTTTAGAAATATATAAAACTGGAACATGGATATAGCTTTAAAAAATAGCTTCAAGCTATTTGATCATCCCACTGCAATGTGAGGTTTGAAACAAATTTTTACATTTTTGTCTTTTATTAAGTGATTGATTTAACTAACTTAAACTAAATGCTACAGTTTGAGCATCGACCTCCAACGTTGTTCTTTTGTTGATAGTAGAGTTGGTGTTAGCAACACTGGGCAGCCCCTGTTCAAATTAGCAAGAGGGAGTCACTGAGAGCAATTCCAAATCATATATATGTGTGTATGTGTTTGTGTGTATATGTATACACATATACATATGCATGCATATGTAATGTAAGTATATGCATTTTTTTTTTTAAGGCAATAGTAATTAATCATTTAAAAGTCTCAAACATAGCCTGCAGGAGACGTCCTAGGAGATAAAGCCCAGCCTCCTGCAGTTGCAGGCAACCATCTAATATGTAGTGCCATTTAAAAAACTTAGAAGTTTGTTTTAGAACTGAACAGCGTCCTTCTTGGTATTTCTTTCCTTGTTGGAAGGCTCTTCCAGCACATTGCACCTCTGACTACTGGAAAACTTCTTACACAAAGCCAAAATTCTGAATTGGTATGTGATAAATCTTTGAGTTGTAACATTGAAGTTTGCTTGTAACTGATTCATATGGTAGTATCAACCATAGCTTCTATGATGTGCCATAAACGTGGACTCTGCAAATACACTGTTTGTATATACATACAGAAAAATATACATGTATAGTTATAAATCTGGAGAGAGAGTAAAAGTATACCAGCGTGTTCTTCATTCATCGCAATAGTATCCTATAGTAAATTATGATATGCCCTGCATATGCAATACTATGGACTCTCTATAATAAATCAGCATGAACAGATTTCAATTCAGTTGCCTAAACAGAGGCATCTAGTGTTGTCTGGGTTGCCCCGGGGCATCCCTCTTGACCTCCAGCTGCTGTTCCAGGAGGTCACAGGTCTTCCATGGATCCTGTGTCATAACTGCCAGCCTAGTTCAGATGGCCTAGATACCCTTAGGTGTTTCAAATGGCACTCAGGGTTGAGCAACCAAAGCCCACGCTGCCACATGCAGTCATATGCTGCACAGTTTTGTGTGCAGTTAATCGACGTCTAAACCACACGGAAAATCTTTGTGTTGAAACTGTAGCAAAGTGCCTTGTTGTATAAACCATGTTACTAGGAACAGGCATTCTTCATTAAAAAAAGGCTTGCGGATTTTAAGAAATGGTAAACATCAGCTAGGAAACCCTAGCTAATCCTGTACATATGCCAAGTCAGGTGTTCCTTCTATCTCCACAACTTTCCTTATTTTTTCTGTTCCAGGGGGTGGAGATTATAACTGGAGAGGCAAGACATGGGAATTATTTCAGGATGCACATCAACAAATACAGTGTGGTAGATAGCATCACCTGCTTTGCAAAGGAACCCTTCCCTGTCTCCAACTACATTTGCTTGTATGGACAGCATGAGCGTCTTCTTAATGATCTTTATTATCGCTGGAATGAAGGGCAGATCACAGATCTTTACAGGTAAGATAAACTCAACATTGTGCATGAAATCTATATTCTGGCAGAATTTTAGTTTTATTTTATTACGATTTATCTTCTGGCTGTTTTCCCTTAGAACAAAAGATAGATTTTAAAAAAATATTTTCCATTATTTGGCAAAATTATCAGTGGTAATGCAAGCCCTGAAGACCTTCCTGGAAAGAGCTGTGTGTCTGAGATCTACTTAGAGAAGCAGCAGTGGCTTACTTGACCATCTTTCCTCTGAAAGCGCATTTTAGTTTCTTTAGCTTTTGCTTAGAATATTCAGTAGACTTAACTCATTAAGCTGAACCTGAACAATCCTTTTTTATGAAGATTCATATTCAGAAGTCACTTCTTTTAAAAGAAGTCAGTGTTTTTGTCAGCTTGAATCAATTTTTCAAGCCGAAGATTTCTAGGGAGATTTTAAATCACTCATGATGATAGTCACATTCAACAGCTTGCCTGTTTATCTGGTGATAAAACAAACCCTAAAGTTTATCCTCTAGACTGCGTTCTCTTTATTTTAACTTAATTTTACAGCTGGAGGCTGTCTCAGGACTCTGCATATTTATTGGAGGTTCCCCATCCAACCTGCAAGACTTCTCCCACCCGCAGCACTTTGCAGCAGTGCAATAGGTCTTGCAGATTTTCTGAGGTGCTCCCCTCTGCCCGCTGTGCCCAAGCAAGTGCAGGACAGTCCTGGGGACTAGGTGTTCTAGGGCAAGGACTGAGGGTCTCTCAAGTGGTGAGAGAGACTAAGAGCCTGGCTATTTCTAGCCAAGTTTTATGCGCCGTCTCCTCTGAGAGAATTTTTCATTGCTTTTGGAAATGCAGACTTATTAAAGAAGTTATTACAGAAAGAGGAGTATCTGAAAATATGAGATCTTCTATACCTTTAATCTTCTGTTACTTCCGTAGAATTTCGTATCTTAAAAAATTACCTGGCCTAAAAACTCAAACTTGTTTTATTCCTTGTGCCTCAGTGCAAACAAGTGCTTTGGAGGTCAAGCTTGTTTAAAAAAAAAAAACAAAAACAAAAATGAAAAACAAAAACAAAACAAACAAAAAAACCCCAACAAAACAAAAACCAGCCTTGAGTTTCATTCATGGGGTGGAATTCTTTGAGCATGTAATTGAAACAGGAGGTAAAGAAAAACATCCTGGTTTCATTTTCATTTTAAAAAATCCCTCACAAATCCCTAAATTGTCACAGATAGAGAAGTGAAATGCCGCATTACATAAGCTGGTTTAGAGCTTAGAAAGCCAAGCACAGGAGCAAATGGTAAATTTTTATCGTGATACAAAGCTGATAGTGATACCTTAGAAGTCTCCAGGTCTATTTTGTTATATTTATAACTGATTTGAAGAAAGGCATAAATGGTAGCAAATTTTCAGATTGAACAATGTTATTTAGCTAACATTTTTAAAAGTTTGCTGTAAACGATGTGCTGTGGTCCAAAAGAAACTTTGCATGATAATAGCAATCTACTGGTTCAAAAAAACCTGTAGGAATGAAGCACCTAGTATCTTGAGACAGGGACTTAAGACCCTCTGAATTCCTGTAGCTCTTTCTCTAGCTTTTGCACTTCTGCTCATTCAGTGTCAAAAAGCTTCCCCAGAATATGGATAAGGCATTGTACACTGCTAAGGATGGAGAACTGAGAACGTCTGCTGAGACCAGGGAGGGGGGGATCCAGCCAAAGCCCTTCAGTTAATGACAAAAGATTGGTTTGTATGCTGTGTTTTGAGAATAGTGGTATCAGCTGCCGTCTCAAAGGGTGAAGTCCCCTGAAGAGGTCTCGGGACTTCACCGGGACTGGCTGTGCAGCTCTCATCATTCTTCTGCTGGGTTTTGCAGTCCTCTTCCTGCACTCTCTCCTCATTGTAAATTAGAGAGTCTAGCTCCTCATTTTTTCCTTCTCATCTTGTACTGAAAGACAGGATGAACCCAAACTTCAACTGTGAGGTTTAGAAGTTTCTTGGACAAAAATGCTTCTTTACAAATTTTGCTTCAGGAGACCTTTGTATGCCTCTGCTGAGAGGAGTGTGAAACTTGTGAATTATTGCAGCTACAGGGATTGATCTTGATTTATAGAAAATATTGGGTTTGTTTTACGAGAGAGGAATGGCACATAGCAAATGCAAAGTTCACATAAACAGTATATTGTCAGTAGGTGTTAAGTAGAAACTGAAAGAGGATGACACAGTTGTATGAGATATGGGCTAAGACGAGCGAGAATTTTCTCTCCTTGTCGCAGCTGATGCTGATCAGCTAATACATTTTGAGCACTGGAAAAACCTCAGTATTCAGGTTGTGGCAAGGTGCATTAGTCTTTTTCAAGGTGTTACAATATGCAAACACAGCTGTGACCTAATCTTTTCTATGAGCCACAAATGTTGCCTTTGTTGTTTGCCCAGATGTGGTTACAGTGTCAGTTGTTATATGTACTAACAAGTTTCACACCAGTATCAATGTCTGGAAAGATAAATGATCTTGCTTTGGGATTTCTGCCTGTAACACAGGTAGCAATGTTTTCCTGGCCCTGACAAAACCAGCATTTGTTCCCTTTCTCTCTGTTGCTGCCTGTTGGGCGTGTAGCCCAGCCCGAGGACCTTAGTGCAGCTGCACTCACCTGCACTCTTGATAGCTATGCACACAGATTTTGAAGAGATGAGACATTAACTTTCTGAACAGACAGCTTATTTCTTCATGAGGCAAATGACGAACGTATTAGCCTCCCTTGCTATCATGATCGTGATAGGATCCCTGCACAGTGCACAAGCTGATCGAGGGATTACATGTAGGATCAAGTTCTAAACATCCACAGAGATTTTAAAGATCTCGGGAGCGATGAAGATCCCAGTGACGATCTGTTAATAGGATGAGTCAGGCCAGTCAACACAGTAAGAGGAAGAAGTGCAACTTTATCTGATGGCAGCATATACACTCACTGGGGGAGTCATCAGCTCCTGCAAGACTGCTTGTATTTTAACTAGTCTTTGCTTACCAGGATCTGAAGTTGTGCAAGGTCAGGGTCCTCTTGCACCCATGAACTTGCAGGCACCATGACCTGCATATCTGGGTGGTCTGGCCAGGATCACTACTGTGCCACACAGAGGCACACCACTCACCAGGTTCTCTTCACACTTCTTGAGCTCTTCTTAATTAGTGATGATGAACTAATTTTGGACTTGTCTTTTACAGCCTTTAGATGTGCATGTTGTTTGGGATCTTTTGCCTCATTATTTTATCTCACCTCTCATTAGCCTGTGGCAAAATTCCTGAATTACAGTTGCCAGGTTTTTCTTATCTGGTTACTTTATTGCCTCCAGTCCTGTTTTTCATCTTCTTTATACTTATCTTCAGAGAGGCTTGTTCCTTCTCTTCTTGCTGTTTGGTCATTTGAATGAAATCACATATGTTGCTCTGTGGCAATTAACATACGCTGTTCTTTAATCCTTGCTCGCTTGTTTTTTCTGGTGCTTTCACACACACACGCGCGCACACGCATACGTTTCCATTCATATCAGTCTTGCTGGTTTTGTTACTATGCTATGAGAAGGATAGATTCTCTAGCTAGTTTAACAGGTGGGAGACGGAAGAGCAACTTGCTGCAGTAAAGGAAAGCCCTTTGCAGTCAGCCAAGGCAGAGTGAAAGGACTAGTGAGAAAAGGAAGAGACAGTGAGAGGAGGAAGCAAACTGCCTGCAATCTCCATGTAACAGAAAGCAAACTGGCACAGGAGAGTGCTTCTTGCAGGAGGAGGCAGAGCAATGGAAAAAGGCTGGCAATATAATGTATCATATCATATATACAACATGCATAAATCCACATAATACAATGTTATATCCAATATACATATATATGTACAATATAGAACAATATACAGTGTTAAAACCTAGCCGTGAGAAGGCTATCTTATTAGAAAACGATTAAACTGAAAAATGTTTTAGCGTCTCTTGTGAGATGAAGATTGTCTTGAGGCTCTTATGTACGTAAAACGTGCTGTCTGGTCGTTTTGGCAAGGAATGTGAAAATGCATTTGTTGATTTCTCTGTGTGTGATAATAATAAGAAAAACTGTTTTGGGTGGTGTTCACGTGGTCTATAATGATCTCACATGACCGTGTGAATGCAAACCTGACATTAGGACTGAATTTCTCTCTTTCAGTTTGAAAAAATCCTTTTAAACTAGTACACATTAAACTTACATCCACTTGCAGTATCTTCTAGCAAGATGTGAAGTGCCCTTAGTGAAAAGAAAATGCAGACTGTGAAAATGTTGTAGTTTGTTAGTTAAGCTTCTAAACTTACTGATTGGAAACATTTGTTCCCCTCCTCCCTTCTTTATGCCTCTATTTTGGGGAGGGCCTTCCTATAAGGCAAGAAAGCACAATGTTTTAATCTTTTTGGTCTGCATTTAGATTTCCCAGCATGGCATCTAGTTCCAGGAATGGACACAGTGGAACAGCTGTCACCTGGGAGCTAATTTATTTCTGTGTAGCATGCAAATTATCTTTTAAATAATTAGAGACTGCACCTAGCAATGAATTTCCTCACTGATTTGCGTTCGGTGTAAGGGCTGAAAGTTAACCCCATGATACCGGATTTCCTGACTATAATGCGCCAGTGCCATTTTCAAATTAGCATTAACAACAGGCCCTCAAGATCCAGCTAACTTGAAGAAGTAACCCCTTCCGGTTGCGCACATGAAACTGTGGCTAATGGTAATAATGAGATAAATAACATTTCCTTTTGCTGAGAGAAAAGTTCCATTGATTTCAGTATAAGTTCAACATGATTAAAAGCTGCAGGACTTGACCCACAACCAAATGAAAGATTGAAATAACTTCTCTCCCTTCCCCCTGCAGTAAATTGGCTTTGCGGAGGAAGCTACACAGGATGGTGGGTATGCATCGCCCTACCCCTGGTGCAGGCCAGCGGGGCTCACCAGTGGCTGCTGTCCCTGCCGACTCCCACGCCAGGGAAGGAAGCCTCTCA